CGCTTAAACTGAACTTAGATGTGTTGCTGTGTGATCGAAACATCATCGGATCTTCCTCGGATATCTTCGGTTATCTTCGGAAATCTTCGGTAATCTTCGAAAATTTTCGGGAAATGTTTGCAACCGTTTGTCTGGCCTTCAGACAACGTTTGGAGAATCTTCGGAAATCTTCGGGAAGTGTTCGGAAATCTTCGAAAAATCGTAAAAAAAATTCGTCATTAGCATGTTTATATAATAAACAGAATATTACATGCCCGCTTGTGGATACGAATTTTATCTTCTCGTGTTCAACTCGCTGCGTTCACTCGTGAGATATCGAGAAATAAAGTGAGATAAAATAAAGAATATATTAGAATATATAAAATAAAGAATAATAGAATAAAATAAAGTGAGATATCGAACAAAAAAAAGCTTAACCTCTGATATATTATTTTTAATCGTTCAAAAAGATTACTTTTTGCGTGTACCCCGATCGAAATACTAAGACAATTGCTTTAAAATGGAGTTGAAAGTTAGTTTCCATGGTCAAATGAGGTGTGCGAGAATTACTGAAGCGACAAACTCTCCAGACTCTCAAGGCATCTGCAGCATTCAAATCATGCGGATTTTCCGGTTATTTTATAACCTATTTTCCTTTTCACCCTGCAGTTGTAATCAGACGGAATTTTATAGGCAACAGTGACCATGGTTTTACATGCCAAGCCCCTGCTACTGTCAGTCATGATAAATATTCTGCACTGTGCGTAGATTCCATCGAAGGGAACACAGCAATTTACACGGCCAAACATGTCGAAAGTGGGTTTGACCTACATCAAGATCACGAGAAGAAATTATTGTTTCAGTTAAAAACAATGAAAAAGTGCAATACCTACCAGGATTTTGACAGAATGCCACTACATATTTCACACCAGTTGAAACATTGTGGATATTTCCGGGACAAACTTTGCCTACACTCATGAAATACGGGACGTACAATAGAGTGACTTCTTGAGCGTGTGGCATTATACGTTATGAGATTTCGTCATTTCGATACAAATGTTGATTTAGTAATGAAAGTAGTATGACAAAAATGAAAGGGTAATTCTCGTAATGCAGTCAAGTGACGTCATCACGCACATCGTGTGCTATGTATTAATGTCAGCACAGTTCGCAGGAAATTCAATGTTTGGAGCTATTTACGGATATATATAATGGACACTCTATCGATTGGGAAATTTGTAGTCACGGGGTTTGACTGTCATATGTCTATTAACACACATGTCAACAAGATTTGCAAAGCAGCATTTTATTATTTATACAACATTATTTGTCGG